CCAGACTCTGGATGGCCCTCCCATTCCCACACAGGTTGCACCTGCCCCCATCTCTCTGTGGGTCATGCATATCCCCCCATTCCTCCATGGATCGTACCTGTCCCCACTTCCTCTGCAGGTTGCACCTGCCCCCACAACTCTCTGTGGGTCATGCCAGCTCCCTCATCCGCCATCAGATTCCCAATCCTCCCCCAGCCTGCTTGCCCCCATCCCTCCAGTCCCCCTACTATCCCCCATCCCAATTTACCTAAGATCAAGTGGCAATGTTGAACCCAATCCAACAACCCCCTAACCTCCCCAAATGTCTGTACTTATCCTAAGCTATCACCCTGCTTTACCTTCTGCTTGACTTCAGACTAACATGGCTAACTACATCTGAGAACTAAATATTGACATTTATAGCTCATTATGTGCTAATATGTGAAATCCCTAGATTACAGAACCTTCTTGTCTAAGGTTACTAGATCAGAGTTACATGTTTAAAGTACCATATTTTCTCATGTATAGCATGTACCTTTTCCACCAAAATCCACCCCCCAAAATCAGAATGCATATCTTAAGCCAGGAGACTGTTTTCTTTGCTGGAAAGGAAGCATTCCTAGAGACATTGTGCATGCCATGCAGCTGCCAAGGTGGCTGCTGTTTATGCCTGTTCAGCAACCTGAAGGCGTGGAGTCCTGTGTTAATCCTCTCACAGCTGTAGCTATTGGCTGAGCACTGTAGCTTGTGTGCCTGCAGCAGCAAGTGTGCTGGTGGTGGTATCTTTTGATGAGGCCTGTGATGTGGAGACAACCCTTCATTTACAGAATCTTGTATAAAGAACTACTTACAGTAAAGAAGTAACAGTCTTGCTACTACCTTCGCAAGGGGCTGGGGCCTAACTTTGTGTGACATAGACTAAGTGCTCTCAGAAACATGAAGTGTCTAGGAAGTGTGGTGCCCCAGGAGACAATCTAGGTAAGGTAGCTGGCAGCAGAAACTGTCACAGAGCTGGCCATGACTCTAGAATTATTTTTTCTACAGTCTGCCTTCCAACAACAAGGTGATGTTTTATTTTGTGGGGGGTGTTTTATGGGAGCAAATATGGTATATTATTACAGGTCCTGAAAAGCAGAGGGATCAAATTTACAAAATCAATCCTTTTGTTAAAGAGGAAGCTGACAAAAGGATACATAGGTCTGTCCAGCACTAGCATGGCTAGTCTTTGGAGGGAATGTCCTTGCATTCCTTTCTATAGACTTTCTCTGGAAGATTCATGGACGGAAATTTATGGGCTTTAAAGAAAGCAATTTCTAACCTTCTACAGAGATTTGCTGTACTCTAAGATATAGGGTGTGTAGGTGTGAACAAAAGAAAGAGTGATCCCAGAGGAGATAAAGGGGAAAAAAGGATAAACAATATTTACAATAAATTACTTAACTGCCAGGAATATGAGCCATGTAATCATTGTTATTGCCACTTTCTATTTTACTTACTGCAATCTATTTGTTTTAGGTGGCTCTGTTATATATGCACTTAGTGAAGGGGAAAATAACAAAGTAATTACTCTGTTTGGTATCTTTCCTAGATAAAACTGAAGGAGATATTTGAAACCCCCACAGAAATCAGTCTTGTCCTGGAGTTGGTCACAGGAGGGGAGCTATTTGACAGGTGAGTGATCGATGGAAACCATATCCTGCAGTAGTAGACACAAGGGGTTTTATGTTGTTTTCACCTTGCAGCATCTTACTCCACGAGGGTATGGTGCTGGGAAGCTTGCTCATCTGTGTAATCCTTCCATTAATGGTCCCTAAGTAGTTCAATTTAAGTAAGACTTATTTACATGATTAAAAATCTGCAGGATCTAGCTCCAAATTAAAAGGTTTCTCCCTGGAGATACTTTCTTTTGAAAGGCCAAAATAAGCTTAAAATGGAGAAAACTCAGTCAATTCTGAAGAATAGGAAGTGCTGCAGGAAGAGAATCAGCAGGTGAACATCATAGTGAGAAGGTGAGTAGGGCAGTCATGCAGTCCCAAATGAAAAAGCACTTAGTCAGGAATGCTGGCAAAAGCATGTAAGCAAGCCAACAGCAAAAAGTGTCACCAAAATCAGGCCACCAGGAGATGGGAGAAAGGAATGCCAGATTTAAAAGACTGATCAGCAGAGTAGCAAGAACACCATAATATTTGACATTAATTATATCTGAAAAAACTCTATCCATCTTAAAAAGATTCTGAGCAAAAAATTAATTTCTGATGTTTATTTGCCTGTAATGATGGATAGCTCTGCAATGCATGTGCACAGAGCTGCATGTTCTTATGTTACGAATGTAAAAAATATCTCATGATATCATTTTGGGGTAATATTGTATTCCGGGGTTTTTCTTAAGAGCTATCTGTCCCTGTTTATAGAGCACACAAGTAAACAGAAAACATTTTTTGATAAATCACTTGTTTTGCTGAACTAATCTACTGATCAGATGATGCGTTCCAAATCATGTGGGGTCAGGATATTTAATCTTCCCTCATCTTGGATTACATGCTTAATATTTAAAGCAAACACGGTATAGGTATGAATTAAGGACACAGAGCACAAAAGTAACTTTGATTGTGGAGAAACACAAAGTTGTCCTTTTTCAATAGATATTTTTATGCATAAGAATCCTAGCAGTAATCCCATCACAAACTATTTCAGAACTTCACTGGTAGTAGCTAACTATAACAAGGCACCTATAGCACGCACCTGTTACTTTAAGGGAGGGAAACTACAGTTTAGAGAGCCACAGATAGTTTCATAGTTTTTAGGGTCAGAAGGAACCTGAACAGATCATCAAGTCTGACTCCCTGCCGCGGGCCGGAATGAGTGCTAGGATCATAATACCCCAGCCAGATATCTATCCAACCTCCTCTTGAAGACCCCCAGATGTGGAAGACTGCCTTTTAAGAGCTCCTAAAAAGCAGGGCCCTGGGGAGAGGTTTGAAAGCCATAAGCACCTACTTCAGAGCTAATGGCTCTGCCATAATATAGCTAGAAGAAAACCCTGGAAGTAAGCAAAGTACTGCTGCAACAGCTAGGCAGTCCCAGAAAGCTACCAGAGTTAAGCCTGCAAGCCCATTTCAGGGACACCTGTAGCCCATGCAAGGAGGTCACCTGGCCAGAAAGGTGTGGTTCCCTGGAGAAATACAAACCTAGGGCTTTAACCATGGCAGGCAGACTGGCCCTGGAGGCTGCCAGGGAAGGAGCTCTAGATTTGGGTGGTGATAGCTGGAGCAACTGGTTGAGATCCAGCAGCAACATGCACTGTGAGTAAAGGCTTACAAGGAGCCAAATCCCAGGAGGAGAAAAGTTTGATTTTGCTGCCAGATATTTTAGGGTTTTTGGTATAGTCAGAGGGCTCAGTACCTGAGCCAGGTAGAGGTAGAGTCTGGATCCACAAGTCAGAGGAGGAGGAGCCCTGCATCAGCTGGCTGTAGCTGAGCTAGGACCAGGGGCCAGAGCGGAACGCTCCAGGAATAGGAAGCAGCAAGAACCTAGGGGTGCAGCTGCTTCTGTTTGGTTGTACTCTGAGGGAGGGAAGGTTTTCCTTCTGTTAAAGTGGTAATGCATTATATCTTTTGTTGAGGTTTGGTTTTCCCAGGAGGGGAGGTTTCTAGTAAGCAGTTGCTGGCCATTTACATCTTAGTTATACTGATAGTTTGGGTATGGGATTACAGGCAAGGTTTGGGGGTTCCAGCTGTACCTGCAGGGTATGCAACTGCCATGATACCATCAGGGGTGAGGCAAATAGTGAGAGTAGTGGAGAAAGGGCCAGGGCCCAGTGTCCAAGCAGGGCAAAAACCAGGGTAAGGGACCTGTAACCCAAGAGGGGTGAGACCCAGGGCCAGGGACCCATAGGTCAGGAGGGGTGAGGGCCCAGATCAAGGACCCGTAACTCCAGGAAGGGCAAGATCATCCCAGAAGGGCAGAGACCATAGGTTGGGGACCCAGCTTCCCAGAAGGTTGGATTCTAGGACCATGGCCCCAGAGTGAGAGGCACAAGGGCCAGAGGCCCAGAAAGACTGATAATTGACAGGGCTGGAACCAGAAGCCTGGCCTGGTGCAGTGGGCCTAGGCAGAAAGGGACCAGATACAGGAAAGGGGTGGAGGCCATGAAGGCCGAGGCGTCAACAAGGGTAAAAGGCCTGAGATAGCATGATGCAAGTCCCCACCAAGGTTATTGATTTGTAACCCCCGTGAGGCACAGAAACAGCTATAGCAGGGGAGGATTGGAAGTCATGAATAGCCCATAAGGCAACAGATGACCGGGGCGGGGGGGACAGATACCAGCCAGGAAGGCTTACGTGATATGGGAACTGATTAAGATCTGTGAGGTCAGTGATGGACCTGCAAGGGTGAAGGATGAGTAAGACTCACTCTAGGACCCTGGGGCAGCCTCCCTTTTTCTAAACAATATTTCCAGCAAGGGGTGGCAGGCAAAAATGAAGAGGCTGGATACACAGAGAGCCAGAGTAGGGCAGGATTCATGAGGCCACCAGAAGGCATCATGGCCACCTCTGGGACCCATCCCTGTGACACCAACTCTTTCCATATTCCTTCAATTGAAAAAAGAAAATGGTGCATTTATTTGCATACACATGGTATATTCTGATATTGTTTAGCTGCTGCTGTGCTATTAGGATCTAGACTTGAGATGATCAGAAACCATGCAGGACCTTCTCTGTCACCTAACAGTAGCACTAGGCTTATACGCATCAGCTTTATACTTACTCTAACATTTATTATCCATAAGGGAAACATCTGTAGGTCATTGTGGAAAAGGAAAACATGATTATGTCTAAGAAAAGGTTGTTTGGCTTGTAAACAGCAAAGTAGTAGGGGAGCTGACGGTGGTATCTGGCACACTTCCATACCTTGCAGTAGCTCCATGTAGCTGTTTTTCAGGCTGTCTGGGACTTGTTTCCAGCATTATGGGACTTAGCTGAGTGAAACCTTTTCATATGGGCTGTGACTGCTTTCTCAAAATTGGGCCCTGTTAATATTTTCCTTGGGAAGCTGTCATACACTACACTTAGACCATACTAAGGACACTGAAAATGTGAGCATCTACACAGTGAAGCTCATTAACTTGTACTAAGTATCCTCTGAGTGTCTCAAAATTATGCCAACTCAGGTGAGAGTTAACTCTGGGCCCTGCTGTCTAGCTCATGTTAGGGCAACTTCAGTCTGCTCCACAGAGATAAAATGAGTCCTCCAGCATCCCAGCATGCACCATTTCCAACTCCCTCATGCAGAGCAAGGATAGAGATCCCATTTCCTGGCTCCTGGCTATGCCCCTTCTCACTAGCCCTCTAGTGGCAAGTCAGAGCTGTGCAACCAAAAAATGGTATTAACCCTTAACATATGACAGCTCACAGCACATTCTAACTTTAACACTACTTATCATTCCACAGAATTAGTATGGTCTAAATGTAAAGTGTAACTTCATCCATGGTCCAGACATTCAGCTCTACCTACTGCCCAGCTATATCAACAATATTGCTAATTAAAGCAAACGTGCTTCACCAATTACTAGAATCCTGGGACTCCTGTGTGCTATAAGTACCAATATTATGTAGCTCGTCAGCATGCAGTGCTCCATCTCCCATTATACACTACAGAACTGGAAATAGTTGCAGTAAATTTTCATTTTATTGGTGATTTAAAAAGTCATTGAAAGCTAATTTTCAGCAGTTATTTCTAGCAAAAGGAAAGTGGCTCTGCTCCTCAGCATAAGCACACAAATAATTTACAAAAATATGCAGCCTACAGCTTTTGCACTAATATGAACAGTTCCTCATTAGCTGTTCCTTCTCCCTTTAACTATGCTGAAGAGGTAGGAAGAGCATTTGCACTTTAGGTTGGAATAACATTAGCCTCCTACAGGTCGTTTTGAGATGGAAATGTGGACTCCTACTTAAGGGCAAACTTCTCTTCTCATCCTTTTTCATCTTCCTCAAATCTTTACCTGCCTTTCCTTCCCTTTCCCCACATCTCAATCCACTTTCCTTGCCTTCTTTGTCCCTGACATTTTCACCCACAAGCTCTTACCTCATCTTCCTACATCACCTCCTTTCCTTGTCACTCTGGCTATTTCTTCATTCTTTGCCTCCCATTTTTTCTCCAGTGTTTTGTATCTCTCTTATATAAAGGGAATGTGCTGACCTATCTTTAAGAGACTTTGACCTTCTATCTCCTGTACATATATAGCTTCTATCAGAATAGCATCTGAGAACTGTTAACCATATCTATTTTCCCATCTAACAGATGGGGGGTTGAGGCACAGAGAGACTCCAGGTTATGACTGGAGCAGTCACATTGAAAAATACAGGAGACTTGAAAACAAAAATAAGTCCAAGGCTTCTCCCTTTCCCCACTTACTGAACTGACTGTGAACCTTTGGGATGCTTTTAAATGATCTTTCACAAATGTTAAAATGTGTAATTTTTAGCATATGATTTTGTAACATTTCTTTGACTATATTTATTACATATAGACTAAACTTGGAAACTTCATACTCTTGAAACATATCCATGTTAATATTAGTTCCTGCCTAAACTATGTAAGAAAGCTATGCTCTACTCTGTACAATACTTATTTCTATGCCTCCTTCTAATCAGCTGTCACATAAGTCA